CTAGCCTTCAGCCACTGCGCCCATTCCCAGCGCCTGATAACTAACCGGCTCGGACAGTGGGCTCGTGCCCGGGAGTGGGAAGAGTGAGGTCAACGACTCAGCGCACTTTTCCTCACTATAAACGATCTGAAGCACTTGAACCTATCACGGTGAAGGGGTAGATGCTGGGCGAGCCTACTATCGTTATAAACTACGTCACGCGCAAGTCACCGTTCCTGCTCTTACCCTGCTGTGGGCACACATTGGACGTTGTCGAATCCGGCGGCCGAGCTACCATTCTTCCCACTCCCCCCCCCGGTCGATCAGTCACTCCCAGATGCACTGAGGAACCAATATCTAAGTCAAGAGACGGGTACTGCATTTTCAGCAGAAAACAACATGTTGGTAGAAGACGTTAACACAAATCAGACCATATATAACCCATTAAAAAGACTAGAAAAGTCTGTGAGGATTGCTGGATTCCAACACGTCGTTGAAGGGAAGACGCTACTTTTAAGAGGACACTGGGCTTCGCGCGTAAAAGCAAATCGATGAATGCAAGTGTTCAATACATGCGAACACAGAAAAGGGTAGATGATTGCAAGTAAGACAAAAAGAAAACAGAATATACACAAAAGCGTGAGGAGCTGATGGTCGTATCAAATTGATGTATAAATGTGATTCCAGCGATACCGACTAACCACTGGTTAGCAGGACTCGAAATGCAGCGAAAAATGAACTCCATAGGGTGCTCGATATTAGGTGCGGATCAAATGTAAGAGAACTTGAAAAGAGCTAGGCGTTTTTACTTCTTTTTCTTCATTGTCAAGTTGCCTTGCTTGGCCTGTTCCGCCAGCTGCTTTCGGCGCTCAAAGGCCGCCATTTCTTCAGCCAAGATCCTGCGCTTCTCCTCTAGTTTCTTCTTTTCTTCAGCGTGCTGTTTCTTGATGGCGTCAAACTTCGCTTGCAGCTGCAGACCAAGAAGAGATTTATAAAATGGAGAGAATATCAACTGGTTATACACAGTGGATTACAACTTTCCTTTCGAAATAACTAAGAGGCCAAATACCTTGTGGACAAATTTCTTCCCCTGGAGAGTCAACACCAATAAATGCGCGGTTCTCGAAACTTCAAAGCAATTTTCCGCGTTAGGTCGCCGAATTTATCGCAAAATTACTATTCTGTTAGGCTAAGCGGCGTGGTGAGAGAGTAAAAAACTAACGTTCAGGTTATGATACACGCAAGACAAGTTGAAAAGGTCGACCGTGAAGCCTAGACGCAGCGTCCCTTCCCATCCATACTTACATCATAGTCTAGAATGGGTTGTTAAAATAAGCACATCTCGAATAACTATCTTCCCCATCCACCGGTCGGTCAGTCTGCGGTGCAGCATAGGGGGTGGGGCTACAACTGCTCTAAAGGTCGGCTTTCGTTCACGTCTTCAGTTAACCACTCCGGAGGGGAGGCATCTGCCTGGTAACACAGTTCTTGGCTGGTCTGCGTGCACACGAGTGGAGAAAAGTGGGAGGGTCTGCAGTGACGGCTAGATGCGGAATAGGCTGGTGTGTTTGGATAATAAGCAATAGTGACCAGCAGCGGCAGCGAGGACTGAGGTCTGACACACAGCAAGCATCCGATGATGGCAATATGGCGTGACCGTGAACTGCTGACAAGAGGTTCTTTTGTTACCGCTGCCATGCAGTTTAAGTGCCACGGGAGATAAGCGCAGGCAATTATGGCAATTAGCCAAATCAACGTCGTCCCTAAGAAGAACTAAGTTCTGGGAGGATAAATCCCAGACAGCCACCCTTATGCAGGTGCGGCACGTGGCCGGCTATGTAAAGTAGTCAATGACAAAGTCTTTCCACAGCGCGTAAGCTTGGAATGTATACTAGTTTTCAACTAACATTCTAACCGTTTCGAAAGATAATCGGAGAGAAGGGAACCCTAAGACCTAGATTACGGGGCCGACTGACAGAATCGGGGTCTTGGCTATACTAAAACAGATCCACCATTGAATAACAGTCCCCCTCATAGGTGTTAGACAGGTGCCTGCTGGAACGTCTGTGATGCAAACGCACGCAGGCAACGGTAGAAAAAACGGCGCACTGATACCCAGAATAGTCGTTTTTTCAAAAGAGCTGTCCTTGTCAGAGGATCCCCTGTCCGGCTGACTTCGCGCCGACTGCAGCGGTTTTAACAGAGTCGAAGGAAGGTCGTTTGGATCTAACTGGCTTAATGCAAGACACAGGTTGTGCGGTAACTCGGCAGATCCACTGCCTACTGGCACTGAGCAGTGAGTGTATGACGACCTAACTGAAAAATCCCACAAAACTCAAGTGCTCAAGAGTTGCATCGAGCAACGGTTCGGTATGGCACAGCCCTTATTAAAGGGCCCCATAGACGGAGAGGATGAGGGCTATCCCAACAGAACCTGTTAATTCTGAGATACGACTGTGCAGAGATAGGAGTGAAATGTAATTAAAAGGGACCCGGGATGCATGAAACGATGATAAAGGATTAATTCCATTTACACAGTCAAACAAGAACAAGTCAAACACTTGACCCCTCTGTCAGACAAGGAGGGGTTGGTTATAATTCTGTACAGAACTAGAGATTAATTACGACACCTACACCCATGGATCGGTCAGTAAGCATGTCCCTCATTGGAGAAGCTTCAAGAGCAGGTGTCCCCTGCCACGGCTGTCCCTTACAGCCGGCGTGGACAAATGGGGAGACTAGGTCGCTATTCAAAAACCTTCATTGCATCACTGGTAAAAAAGGATCCGACGTAAGAGACGCACTCAAATGACAAACCAATCTCATCTATCATCCGACAACCTACTTCAACGCAGTTATAGTTCAACCATCATCATGTGGGTGATCGGATGAACCGAATTGTTACTGCATTCTGACTTTCGCACCCCCAAGACAATGCTCACCAAGACTGTAAATGCACTAATTTAAACATCCTTGACAGATAAAGGGAAAATATGGCGGCAAGGCTGCCCGTGTCACATCTTACTTGAGGACGATGCGTAATCTCAACCTCAGACTGACTTTTCATGAAAATGATAGTACTGCACGATAGTGGGCAAGTCTGCAGCCGCTGCCGATTTCGTACTACCGTTTGAGTGGCAGTAAGAAACATGCACAACAACGTGGACGGACACAGGTAACGAAATTAATGAAAAGCACACTAACCTCGCGTTCCGACTCCTTTAAGACTTGCTCTTTATCCTTAACACGTTGAACAAACATCTGACGCATTTCTTCTTCCTTCTGTTTCAGTTCCTTTCGCTGCAATTCGCGCCGTTTCTCATATGTTTCCTAAGGTTTAAGTGGGTAAACACGTGAGAAAATGCTTTATAAAGAGAAATGAAGATGGTGTCCGACTTTTTCTGAAACCTAATGCAAAAAATGGGTCCTGAGAGCATGGATTAAGTCGCTATCTTGGTGAGCTATTAGATACAGAGACAAAATGTTGAGCGACTTTCGACGACATGGGGCGTCAAAAAGTCCGATTTGGCGAGACGAGACAGAGGAATGTTATATCTGGTGAATACCACGAGAAAGCTGGTGATGCCGAAGAGTTCTGTACTCAAGACCTCGACTGAAACTCCGCCTATAGATCCCGCTAGATATGGCAGAAATCGAATGCGGCACACGCCTTAGTCGAAGGAACTTGATTGAATGAAATCACAACCTCAAAGAACGCAGGTTATGTTAAGTAGATTGCCGTATGCTCATTCTCAACTGCATCAAATCAAGTCACTGATGAAACGACAGGTCTGCCCTTATGTCGGAATACAGCTTTCGTATAACTCCCGAGCGGCAAAGTTAACATCCTCATTTGCACAAATGGAAATGCTTGGTGCCGGCCACAGCGTCGTCCATTTTGGTGGCGTTAAGGATGAATAAAAATGGAGGACGAGGCTCCACTATAACAGTCGGCGTCTGACATAATCCCACGTGCATGGATGGATGATAACTGACTTTGATTGATACCATTCCCCGCCTTCGGGCTCATAAGGGTAACGCACGTACGAGGCACACTAAATAGCCGGTACCACCCAGCATTGAAATGAAATGAATTTTTTAGCAAGAGCTCCAATGTGGTACGGAGCCAAAACAACTGCGTGCGTCAGAATTAACAAAAGACCTACACAAAACCTGCACAGATAAGTAGTCGGAAGACAAATTCTCACCTGCAGAGAAATTTTTTCATCGTCCCTGAAGCCCATTTCGGTTAGGCGTTGCTTCCGATACGTTTCATAATGCACTACATGCGTGCGCTCGCGCAGATCTTCCATGTTAACGCGGAGCAACATTTCACGGAGGCGCACAAAATCACAGTGGGCCTCGTTTTCCACTTGCACGGAGCCCCAGGGATACTGTCGCACACGAAGTGTTCGGCCATTTATTTTTGCCTCCTCCGTACTGCCCACAACCGCGAATGGAACAAGCAGCTAGAATAGATTCCACAGAAGTATAGGACATTGGCGTAGAGTTTAAAGCTGACAGCGTCTAACAGAACAGGGACGGAAGACATTAACCGGCGCAGCAAAGGGCAATAGGGATGTTGAATTAGACGGCAGAATATGTTGTTCCCGGCAGTTACCATGCTGAATTAGACTTGGCGCAACTTGACTCGAGATGAAGGACTTGGTGATATACAAAACAGGAGCATGCGATCACTTAGCAAAGTAAACTGTACAAAAGACTGGCGAGGCAGCGCCAGTTAGTCCGAAAAGGGAGTATGCTATAAGCGGGTAACAAAAAGATCACAACACAAACAGGGGTTCATAGAACGCGTACGGTTGCAAGAACTTACATTCGTGCTTTTGTTCACCTCACTGACTACTTCGTCATCAGTAGGAAATTCGTAGAGATGGATATTACTTGCTTTTATTTCCGAGATCACCTAATAACAAGAGATGAACAACTGAGACTATTGTGCGACATACGCGGGCTTTGAATTTCAGCAACTCAGCTTTTGTTATAGTGTCCGATTTAGCAATCACAGGAATGATGTTGACCTTGTTCTCCAGCTTCTTCATTGCCACCAGATCTACAGACTTAAGACTGAAGAAAAAAAAGAAAAATGACAGACAGGGAAGTTAGGCCTAGTTCCTAAATGATAATGCAGAGAAGAAAGCATGAAGACTTTAAGCAAAGCAAAGATCCAGTGAAAGAAAAAAACGTTCATCCCAGAAACTGACGGCGAACAAGCCATAATTTATAAAAAAATAACCGATCTCGGGAGTGGCTAGACACTACAGTGTGTCTTACCTGTGTCCTGTGGGAGCGATGAAATATAAGCAAACGTGCACTCGCGTGTCGTGGTAGTTATGCATTGCTCGCTTTATTTTAAGCTCCTCCTGTAAATAGCTTTCGTGTTGAGCATCGAGAAATTCCACTACACTGTCAGCACTACGGGCGTGAAAACGGCGAGAGAACATACCAGTTTGACTTGTTTATTTGGTCACCAAAGCCCACGGTTTCCGTGACAGTAAGCTTTAATTTCACGTTCGACTCTTTGAGGTCTAGGGGAAACATAAAACTCACAAGCACTAACCGTACGTTGTCGACTTCAACTTAACCTCTGTTGAATCATGGGACGCGGGAGTGGAGTCGAACTTCTGATTAAAAAGTGTCTCAATTAATGTCGACTTCCCCAGGCCAGTCTCTCCTGAAGAAATATGGTTTTTTAGAAAATAACGTAACGTACCCACACAAAGGATGTTGAAAGCAAAGCCTTGGTTAATCGATTTTTCGACAAGTTGATCCGGCAGGCAGTCAAAGCCCACGCGGCCATTTAGCTTTAAAGTGCGACATTCTGGCTCCTAGTTGAACAAATTTAGTCGGTGGACGGGCACATACCAAACGCTTTGCAACCTCAGCAGCCATCGATACAGACGTTAAGCAGGCGGCAACACAGTGGCTAGCGGCGCCCAAGAGGCAAATTTTTTAAAAAGGTCTTTGTCAAGTCGAGGTTCAAGGTTGAACGCTAAGGCCTTAGGTGGTTATGTAATCCACGAGATACTTCAGTTAAATCGTCACATAAGACTCGACCTTATGCCCTCGCAGTGAGCAGTCCCTGTACTCACTGCCCAGTACTGATAGGTAGTGGATCTGTTGAATTACCGTTCAACAGGTATCCAACGTTAGACCAGTTGGACTCACATGGCCTTCCTTCGATCCTGCCGAAACCGCTGGAATCGGCGTTAGGCTTTATCAGTATAGTAGTTGACTGTCTCGTATAACTGGCCACGTGCCTCGCCCGCTTAAAGGTGTCTATTTGGAATTCATCCTTCCTGGACTTAGCTATAATTAGGAACGATGACGATGTGGCTAACTATCGCACTTACCTGGCACTTAAATCATTGGCAACCTAACCGCGAGGCAGTGGTGGCAAGATAGCTCTTGTTAGCAGTTCACGGTTATGTCATATTGCCATCATTGGGTTCTTGCTGTGTCAGACCTCGGTTCTCGCCGCTCTAGTAACGCTGCCGCTGCTGCTTATTATCCAGACGTACCAGTCCGTCTATTTCGCATCTAGCCGTTATTACAGACCACACCACTGTTCTCCACTCGTGTGCGCGTAGGCCAGCCAGCGGGCAGGTGCCTCCTCTCCTGAATGGTTAATTGAAGACATAGATGAATGTGAGGAAAGGCGACGTTAAGACCAGTTTTAGCCCCACTCCCTAAACTGCACCGCTGACTGGTCGACTGGTGAAAGTGGTAGCCATTCTAGGCGTGCTAATTTGAACAACCCATGCTGAGCGCCGTTGCAAGTGTGAATGGGAAGGAACGCCGGGTTCGGACTTCACGACCGACCTTTTCAATTTGTGTTGCGTGCATTATAGCCTGAATGGTAGTTTCTTATTCTTTCCATACCGCTTAACCTGGCAGAATAGTACTGCTGCGACACATGTTCAGCGACCTGGCATGGAAGACTATGTTGAAGTTTTGAAGGTTACATATTTAATGGTGCTGACTCTCCAGGAGAAGAAATCTCTCCAGAGGGTTTTTGGTCTCCTAGTTATTTCGAAAGCAATCATATCCAGTTGAAGCTCCCTTCATCTAACAAATCCCGTCTTGGTCTGCAGCTGCAAGCGAAGTTTGACTCCATCAAGAAGCAGCACACTGAAGAAAAGAGGAAGTTAGAGGAGAAGCGCAGGTGGCTGGCGCGGCTGGAACCACTCCTAAGCCTGTCTCCACACCCGGCTCTGATCCCATTAGTAAGGAGTGCTTTGGAAGCCACATTAGGAAGGAGCCATTGCGGCCAGTTTGCATCCTTCCAAGCCACAGCTTTTAGCTCACCATGACGGCTTCATTTGAGTCAGTTTGTTTTTAGGGAAGAAAGTGCGCTAAGTTGTTGACCTCGCTCTCTTTCCTCCTCCAGCAATGAATCCAATGTCTGAGCCGGTCAGTCGTCTGGTGCCGAGACTGGGCACACGACGACCCCTCTCCCCAAACACAAGCATCAGAATTTCACACTAAAGGACGTTGGCGACATGCATTTCACACGCGTGAGAGTGCCAGAGGTCACGCTAAGAAGGAGCCATTGCAACTGCACTCCGCCCGCCATACCACGCAAACGAGCTGACTGCATGGACTGAGTTACAGCGTCAGTTGACGACCTTTCAGCCCAAGACGCTTCGCACGCCGTGAGAATTGCCCTTGAGCCGGCTATTCTAAGTCCGTTCACGAAGGTGGCGCAGTATAATTTACCTCTGAGTGTTCAGAAGGATGTGGCTGACGTTTTGCTCCCCCTAGTTAGTCCTGCTTTGGAGTAACGGGGGTATGCCAGGGGCGCATCGGCACAGCCTCACCCATTTTGGAGCTGATGATAACCCAACGGATTTGTGTTGCCTTTTCGACCTTCTGATGGTTGCTTGCCGTCATGTCCGATAATAGCCGACCGCGAGCCACTTCTGGGCATGTGAGACATTAGGCATGCCTGCTCGTGGTTGCCACATTATAGATTTATATTCCGCAAGGTCAGACCGCAGTACTGGAGAACTAGATCATGACCGCTGAGCGGGTGTCTTTTTGCCTTGGACGAGCTTGCGTTCTCCGCATTCAATGCCGCCGCAGTCGGCCGAATAAGACACCGATAGATTTACGTCGACGACGATTTTATTCTTTCTAAAAGGCTGCAGTAGTTGAACTGTTGATATCGTGAAAACAGGGTGGGTGTTACGTGACCTTGACATAATAACCGCATGGCGACGCTGCGTGGGGACGCGGTAACCTGCACAATTTCCAACCAAGCGTCTACGGGTGACCGTCTCACACCCTTTGCTCCTGGCATCAGTTCGGCTAGTACTTACTTACTTGTACTTGATACGGCTGCGATCATGCCTGATCTAGCCGGCCTCGATGATGTCCCGAATTGTACCTCTCCACGCGTGACGATCCGCGGCAGCAGATCTAGACAGCTCAACCCATCCCCTTCGCCAACGACGGAGACCGAATACCGACGGTCCAATAACCACCGCCATGTCTTGACGGACAGTGTCGAGCCAGGTTTTGAACTGACCCCCTCATCGACGCCTCCAATGGGGCAACGGTGCCGGATCGAGGGCAGTAACACTGAGCTCCTGAGGTGGACGACGAAGAACATGCCCGAACCACCTCAGTCGTCTTTCTTGGATGGCCTGAGTTATCCTGGCGATGTTATCGCAGCGAGCGCGGACTATCTCATTTGAGACGAAGTTGGTTAACTTCACTCGAAGGATGATCCTTAAGCAGTGGTTGTCAAATACCTCCAGTTTTCGCTCATCCGCCACGCGCAAAGCCCAGCATTCGCAACCGTAGAGAAGGACAGACCGGACAGATGCACGGTACCCGCGAATCTTAGTGGCGATGGAGAGGTCACGTCGGTTCCACAGGCATTTCCGAAGGCTTGAAAAAACCCAGCGGGCAGCATCGATTCGGGAGACAATGTCGTCCTTACTCTGTCCATTAGGCAGCAGCCGCGCCCCGAGGTATTTAAAACTGTCCATTTCTTCAAGTTGACAGCCATCGATCCCCAGGGGTGCCTTCTCCTGGTCAGGGATGCAGCTTGAGAATACTTTGGTCTTCCCAGCGTTTATGGACAAACCGACTGATTTAGCGACCTCGTTCACTCGTGACACCATGGACTGCAGATTACCAAAACTTGAAGCAAGTAAGGCGATATCATCGGCAAAGTCGAGATCAGTCAGTCGATGTCCGGGTGCAAATTCAACGCCGTCACTGTCGCGTAGGGCCCTCCCGAGGATCCAGTCAATAGCGTAGTTGAACAGTATGGGTGACAGGATACAACCCTGTCGGACGCCAGACCGAATACCGAACGGTTGGGAAAGATTGTTACGGAACAGGACTCTCGCAGTAGTGGAACGATAGTAGGCCTTGATCATGGCGATGATTTTTGCTGGTACACCATCTAGCGCCATTATCCGCCACAGGGACTCACGGTGAACAGAATCGAACGCGGCGGCAAAGTCAACGAAGCAGACGGCCGTCGGTTGTTGGTAGCTATGGCGAAATTCGAGAATGCGCCTCAGTGTGAATATCTGATCTGCGCATCCACTTCCAGCACGAAATCCGGCTTGGTTGGGCCTCGTCCTTGAGTCACGCACAGCCTGGAATCGCCTGAGTAGGACAATAGCGAAGATCTTCGCAGCAACGTCGATGAGACTTATGCCGCGGTAGTTCTCGCATCTCGTCTTATCTCCCTTCTTGAGGATAGGTACAAGGATGCCTAAGCCCCAGTCATCAGGAACAACCTCGTCTCTTTACGCTCGTTCAATCACCTCATGGAGCCAGGGCTCCAGAGTGTCGACACAAGACTTAAAGATTTCAGCGGGTATACCGTCCTCTCCGGGTGCCTTATTGTTGCGCAACTTTCGTATGGCATCGGCGACTTCTTCCTCGGAGGGGGGATCGCATGGCACTGCATAGGTAGGAGAGGGAAGAAACTCCGCTGTGGAGGAGAGCAAGGGCGATGTTGGTTGGGTATCGAAGTTGAGATGGTGCTCAAAGTGCTCACGCCAGCGCTCGACTTTGGCCGAGTTGTCAGCAATAAAGCCACCGTTCACATCGCGAACAGAGTCACTCAGTGTAGAGGGCTTACCGCTTACTTGGCGGATCAGACGGTAGAGCTTTCGAGTGTCACCAACGTTCGAGGCCTGTTCCATGGATGTCGCTATTTCAGCCCAATATTGTTTCCGGTCATCCCTGGCCGATTTTGCCGTCATCTTCCGAAGTTGGCGGAAGTAGTCATCGCTGCGGGACCTGGCTCTAGCCGTCTGAGCAGACAACTGCAGGGTTCTTCCACTGATCCATTCACTGCGGCGTCGCTGGGTGTATCCAAAGATTTTCTCAGCTGCCCCAGAGACTGATGTCTTTAGTGAAGACCACTGCTTACTGACTTCTCCGTCGGCTCGGGCCGTAAAACAGGTCCGGATTTCTCTGCTTAGGGCCTCAGCAGTGCTGGCTTGCCGGATGTTTGCGACATTGAGGCGTCTAGGACGCGGCTAGTGGAAGCAAGTCATCCGTATTTAGTAGTGTCTCCACTGAGGATGCAATCGGACACCAGAGGAAAGCTTGCGTTTTTATAACAGTCGTGGTCCGTGGTCACCAGCATCTTTAGCGCACGGACGCGCAACGATTGCCTGAAGAGTGTTATGGGCAGTCCGGGTGATTACCGGACTCTTGAACATAAATTAAATTCAGATTGGCAAAGCTAAATTATCCGAGATGAAAATTTGGGAAACAAAAAAGTGCTCCCGGAGCGAATTTATTGAACGGCTGACGTTCCGGAAGGCTTAGTCGGCTCATCATTGTCAAGGAGTTAAATATAAACGGCGTACCAAGCCAGTCGACCCTGAACGGATCGATTTTTTCCATCTTTCGCT